TGCGCGTGTGTGTGTGTGTGTGTGTGAGAGAGTGTGTGTGTGTGTGTGAGAGAGAGAGAGAGAGAGAGAGAGAGAGAGAGAGAGTGTGTGTGAGAGAGTGTGTGTGTGTGTGTGAGAGAGAGAGAGAGAGAGAGAGAGAGAGAGAGAGAGAAAGAGAGAGAGAGAGCGCGTTAAGAGGTGAGAGCGAGCGAAGGAGAGTGAAATGAGGCGAGAGAAAATGAAAGACAGAGACACAGCGGAAAGAGAGCATGCGTTTCGTTGCTTTTGCCTAATTAAAGTTGCGGCTTATTTTCACATTTCGATTTCGTCTCGTCAGAGCGTACATGCGCCGCCGGGCCACGCGTGGGGGCCGCTGTTACGCAGTCGCGGCTTTTTCCTGTGTCCCATTAATTAAGCTGCCGCGGCGAAACCGGTCGTTAAGCTACGAATTTTCTTGCCCTCGTCAGCACTTAAAAAGTTGCGCGGAAAATTATTCGTAAAATCCCCACCGTTTTCCCCTCATCTAGTAATTAAACGTGGCGACCCCGGCTTGCCGCATCTTTCCGCAGGTTCATTCCGCCGAACGCGCGCTTTTTTTTATTATAGTGGTAGTTTTTTCTCTCTTCTCGCAACCGGAACCATAATTATAATAAAACGCTTCCATGTGCTCTCCTCTGAACACCCACCCGCAGGTCTGCAGGCCCACTGCAGCTTGAAATGCATGCGCCCACCCACCCCACCCCACTACGGTCCGCGCGGGGCGGTTCCGGTAAATTTGCCTCGATTTCTCATCGGCTGCTGCCGTATTTACGGTAAAATCGCGGGTCGGCGTCGTCACGTCCACGTTTCACGTCGAAGAATGGCAAGCTGACGGTGATGAGTCATCATGACGTGTTCGTACATGCGTAGACATTGCACGCCATTACGATATAAGAACCTCTCGTAAATAATATAGGGAAATTTCGCGAACCGTGTTCCGTATATATCTATATATCTATATAATTTATAGGCATTGGTGCAATTTAAATAGTTCATCATAATAATTAATAATTGTATGTCGCTATTATCTATATTTATTTCTTAATGTCGTATTTATTTATTTATTTATACGATAAATACATCTAAGAGTACTACACGTGAAGGGCGACATGTTTGGCTACGTATTATCCTGTATTAATAAACGGCACTCATCGCCATTCATTAACACATATTTTTCATATAATCGATTGAGCGAAAGTACGTGCCTACGAGCACATCGCGCACCAATCAGTAGTAACATACTGTCCCTGCTCCATGTGCCTGAAATTATGAAGTTTAAATGTGTATATAATCTGCTACGTGTTTTACGGGAGGTCTACTCAACTTCTGTGTTGAAACGAACGCAGGAGTCATACGAATTCGTTGTGCTACATTGAACTGTTATGTATACTTTAGAGATAGGATGGTGCCTAAAACTGCGAAGTGGCACTTTATAAAATTCAGTTACCTCGTTATGATGTTACTTACAGCTGTATACTCTTATATATACTGGTACCAAGTGTAGCTTGGAATTTGTTGTGTTCCGTCTACAAGTAACGCACTACTAGATTGTTTATACAGGAAATCTTTCACGGTATATATGTAATAATGCCAGACTACGGCCAGGCACTATCTGTGAACGTGTAATCTATCGTGTGTAACCAATGTCACTCTGTATGACTGTAGAACCAAACTCGAATTCTCTGTCGGTGCATCATCATTATCATCAATTATGACTAGAACTGTTATTATACAAAATATTTTGAAACGAATAAAATAAAAATATAAAGCAGTTTATTATCAAAAGCGCCGCTTACCTTTTGTTATATGTACGTGTAGGTGCGTGCACGCAAGCGTTTGTGCGTGCGCACGTGTGATTCACACAGATAATACTGTCATTTCATATACAGAATACGATTATGCCTGTCTCAGTTGACGCACGTCAGGCGAATTAGCAGCAGCTGCAATAAAACACGTACTACGTTTACACATTACTCTTGATTGTGAGAGCAAGTCTCATGAGTGTAATGAATAAGTAATGCATGTCTTGGCGGTGTTTACCGAGGGGATGATGCAACCGATGCTCATCATAATTCATGACGTACATGTGCAGCAGCGTCACACGCTGCTCGACCTCGCCTGCGTCACGTAGACATATTTAAATTCCGCTTGGGCTAACGAATTACTTCAGCGAGAGCCAGTACACATCTTATGCACTTATGTTGTTGTCGTTTTGTTGTTTTTATTGTTGTTAGTTATGTTGTTGTTTGTTGTTGTCGTCGTCGTCGTCGTCGTCGTCGTCATCGTCGTCGTTGTTATTGTTGCTGTTGCTGTTGCTGCTGTGCTGTTGATGCTGCAGCTGCTGCTGCTGTTGCTGTTGATTTCGCTGTACATGCTATCGTTTTGACGCTTACTCAGGGTTTACATTCAGACCGTTCTGTCGTCTGCATGCCCTCATATTGGACGATGAGTGCGAGCATTGTTCGAGCTACTATAGTATCCCCTTTTATAGTAGGGTGGATAAAAGTTTCACAATTCAAACCAAAAGTGCACAATGTGCCCATTTGAATGTGCTTATCAGCTGCACTATTATGAACAACAATGGCGTTATCCTCCGCAATTAAATTTGCGTTACTGTCGTTTGTTGTTATTCGCAAAATATTACAGAAACTATGCGGGATGAACGAAAATTACAATAAAACATAAACTTCATAAGTTTGATTGCAATTCGAAACAGTAATGAAAAGGAATAGCGACGAATGAAAAATTTTTTTGTCACTCTGTGCGTCTATAGGCCTATATCACTTAATTTCGGCCAATTATTATCAATTAATGGACCTGTTATCTAATAGTTTGACATACGGCTCGTGTTTTTTTAATTTTGAATAAACAAATACTCATGTATTTACACCACATCAAGAGCTAATAAACACCTTAGACCCCGGTATTTATTAGCTCTTGACCACATGTGAGTCTGCCGATCACATTAATCAAGCTAATCATA